TCTGGCCAAGGAGCTGAAGGAGTTCAAGAATGCTTGTTGGACACCGTTTTTAATTTCCAGTTAGAGGAGTCTTTCTTGGAAAGTTGTAGGATATAACTCATGGACTACGCGGAGTTTGCCTGATTTAACCGGGTAAATATTTTAGGCAGGTGTTAATAATAAAATCTGCTGGCCCAAGATTGCTCCCCACGGAATTCTTCGGCTTTACTGCAAGCACGCAAACAACGCCGACCTACAACCACCCCGTAACCACCGCTCACAGGCACCTTTGGGTTTAATTTCCCTTTTTTTTTTTTAAAGTGAAGGAGAGGGGAGCGTGTTTACCAACACACACAGAGGCTCCCACCTCCCAAGCACTGCAAGAATTCGGATGTTTTTCCAACCTACCCCGAAATAAGGAGCTGTCAAGAGCTTTATTGTATAAAGCACGATAGTAAGGGCAGCCTTGCTGGCTGAGGAGGCACAGTGAGCCAACAATCCTCAGGGTTCGGATCCCTATTCCCTGTCGTCCCGCTCCCGCGTGCCCCCGACACCAGTCACACCTTTTACTGGCCAGCACAACTGAAAACGTACGGCACATCCCGAGCGGAAACAATAGCCAGTCACACAGAGCTCGGCATCAAAGGCACCGACGCTCGGACGAGCTTCCAGGAGATACGCACAGTCAATCGGCCCTTTCCTGTTTATTTATTTTATAGATACGTATTTTTGATCAACACCAGCTGTATAAAAAACGTGAAGCGAAAGCCTGAGAGCAGACACACGCGCCGAGCCTCACGTGGTTCTGCTTTGCCATTTATCGCAGAAAAGCTGGAGCACCTTCCCGAGGCTGGATTTTACTTCAGGCTTTAACCTAAAGTAAAATTTTTGTTTTAACGAAGCCGAGCCGTTCTCCCCTACAGCACATCTGGGTTACCAGAGTCAACACGACCCGCAGATACACCCCAACCTCCTGCCCCAGTGGGGTTTGGAGCCGTTTTCCGCAGCGAACAAGTCCGGATCCGCAGGCACAGAGTTATTACCTTCTGACAGCCGGCTGGGAATACAGAACACGGCCGGCGAGAGGGCTGGGGAGGAGAAAAGCGTTTCCATGCGGTTCCTGTCGGAACAGGTACCCGCGTTACACAAGCGGCGATGGCCCCCGATAGCCACGGAGAGACGGACGGCGCGGCGGAGGACGCCCCCCCCAGCCTGTCCTCTGTCTGTGCCAACAGGCGTGCAGAGATGCTCCAGGCTCGTCCAGCTCTGGGGAAAAGGGCCGATCTCTCCAAAAGCGCAGAGCTGGTGCCTCCCACTCTTCCCCAGGAAGCAGAAGTGGTCGCATCCCACCCCCGGGTACAGAAAAAAACATCGCCAGAGAACAAACAGCCGAAACAAAGAGTTTTCCCTCCCTCACCGCCCTCCAAACAAATATTTACAGGTGTCACAATCCCCGCAGATTTCCAGAGGCTCCATATTGAGGGCACACTGGTGCGTGGGGGGCTGCCGACCCCCCCTC